ATATTAAAGAAAATATAGCACCTCCTTTTGTCGTCTGTAACATCATTGGATTTAAAGATATTGTCCTCCACATAAAAATGAACACAATATACCCCCCTCCCATTTTTTCCGATATGCGTATACAGAAGAAGATTAATTTTATCAAATTCACTTCTTCGTTCTTAGGTGTATCTTGTTCTGCCCCGGGCACACACAAAAAAAAAGGTATCAAATCCCCTGCCTCCCACAGATTTTAAAATAGAATTTTCCTGTTTATTGACGAATCTCTTCTCCAGTTTTCATTAGAGATGAAACTATTCTACAGATCATCAAAAAATTGCCTATGCTCCTACCTCACACTGTATGCTGCGCAAACGGAAAAAAACAAGTACTTCCTTATCTTTAAACCAAATCTTAACCCATATTATTTCACACCCTTTAACTGTACTTTCTGGGAAATTTTAAAAAAAGAAAAATGCGTCTTGTTTAAAAGATTACATTTTCACGCCACTAAAATTAAATCTTTTGTTTCTTAAATATCGTTGTCCAAACAGAAATTTTCCACTCCCGTTTTTCCCCATTTTAAATGTATGTTCACGAAGTTGTTTAAAATACATTTTTACTTAAGCATATCGTTTTTCGTATGTGCCCACCCTTTACCCTCGCTCTTTGTCACGGTCGTATCGTGTGTTTATCCTTTATGTCTGGTTTATTAAGTTTAACATTGAGCTACGATGTTTTCTTTAGGGACTTCCCCCATGTGTCGCACCACCTTTTCTCAGCCATGAAAGCGCTGTGACACATTTCCGGTGGTGCGATACATTTGTGCGGAGAAGATGAACGCAGATATTTGGTTATGGGCGTCAGGCTGTGTTAGTTTCAAGAAATGACTGATGGGTTACACTAGTTCCAGGAAGTTAAACTGTTTCACAGATGAACAGAATTGTTGATGGTTGGTTTGTCGTGCATTTTTGTCTTGGCACAACACACTAGTAATTAAAGTATACCTATTACTTCAAACTCTATCGTGAAATTTTTTTCTATCAGAAAGAAACAAAACGTAGTTAAGGCTCTAGTTTGATAATGTGTCTGTGGCCGTTGGAAGAGGGACCTACCCCTAGACAACATTTCGCCACACTCTTGAATTGTTTATTTGGAAAAATGAAGAAGAAAAATTACGACGTCCATAGTTTCAAAGAAAATCTTCTCCACTCGAATCCTTTTTGGTTGAGTGGCAGGTGGTAATTTCTTATGCTGAAGAGGGCATTGCCAGTGCTGTTGAACATGCTTTTTCAACATAACATAACTTGTGATGCAAAAAAATATCGTATTCCAACTCAATCATCTATCTTGACTGCACATGACACCTAAAAATTATATGACTGTTTACATTCCTTAAATTTAAAAAAAAATAATGTAATAACAAGCCAATTTTAATTTAATAGAGAAAACATGCTTGTTGACGTCAACTAATGTAACCCCACCCCCCCCCCAATTGTCAACACCTTTCAAACATTTCCGAACCCCCCC